ATCAAGGCCGTGGTTCCAAAAAAGGCCCGTTCATTGACAGTGATTTTCTAAAATCTTGTGCACACTGCCGAGGATAAAGTATTATTTGATTGACTTGCAATTTTTTGTGTTTGTTTAACGTTAATTAGACGAGGAAGTCTATTGATGACAGGGTTACTGCCCTGTGCAATGTTTCGAGTGATGAGACCCTGAAGCCTTTTGATTTTCAACTATTTCTGGTAAAGTTATTGCCTTTAACTGATTGACGTCGATGTGCAATTTTTCGAATGATGAGACCCTGAAGCCTTTTGATTTTCAACTATTTTTTGTAGAGTCATTGACCTTATCTAGTTGATTTGTAGCCTGGATACATTGTTTATGCTAATAAAGCCATTCCATGTGGAGTTACTACCCTTGTTAAGTTGCGATCGACCTCGGGACTATGGCGGGGGCCTGACAAGAACATCTGTCTAGTCGAAGGAATTCGATATAAGAGTAGACCATAGTGCCGCTGCCGGGTCAAAATGTCACTCATAGCACACTGCATGACGTATGCCCAATCGAGGCAGAACAGTAGGACGTTAAACCCCATTTCATTTCATTTCGAGGCCATGCACATTGTTTATGCAATTGAAGCCATTTAATGTGGAGTTACTACCCTTGTTAAGTTGCGGACGATCTCGAGGTTACGATTATCATTTAAGTAACATTGACATATCTAGTTAGCGTAGAAAAGAGGTTTGTACAATTGCACTGATTCCAGAAAAGTCATAGTGTCCTGTACATGAGCCACTCACGCGACCTTGAATCATTTGATTAGCTGGAGATTATACTCACCCTTGTCAATCAAAATATCTTATAGCCTATCAAATCGTCATCACCAGATTTCATTCAGATATTCCCAGCGTGCTATCTGACGTATTTAGACGATTTGTATATTTGCATATTGCGTACCTGGTTATTTATAGCACAGATTCTAAAGGTAGGGTCACACTGGTGGATTCGTACTAAATTTATGCTTTCAGTCTACAATTAGCCCCGCTTGAGAACAGACACTAGGCTAGTTGCCCGATATTTTAAGTCCTAAATGGGCGATATTAGTCGAAAACGCTAAGTATATTTCGAGAATTTTGAGAAGTATATAGTCTACTGTCATTTAATACAATTGATCAGGTTTAATTAGTAGTTTTTAGAATAACCGAATCGGAGTAGGACTGTGTTACAAAACAGTATGGCGGTCATTTCGGACAGAGATCTATTCTCGAAGAAGTGTAGGTAGTTTTATGTGTGCAGGGGAGTTGGATGGCTGAATGGTTAGCGTGTGAGCGCTGTATCATAAAGTCTGTCATTGAGTCAACTGGCGTGGTTTCGAATCCCCGGTTGTACGTGACAAGGAGTAGCGTCACCTGTCCAACCTCGTGGGTTTTCTCCGGGTCCTCCTGTTTCCTCCCACTGCTAAAGACCTCTACGCGCAAGCGAATTGTTGAAATAAAATTTAACCATATCTTAGTCCCGAAATGACCTAGTTTGTATCGAGTGGACGTTAAACCCCATTTCCCTCTCTCTCTCTTTCTCTCTCTCTCTATATATATATACGTGCATAAAGTAGTGGATTGATCCTTGAAGACATAACAAAAGTCTTGCAGTTTGTTATTTCCGGTTTTGGCCCGGTTGAGTTCAGCTCCAGCCTATTTGAGAAATACGAATTCGCAGTAGGACAAATGTTACATGAATATATATACAGCATTAAACATACATTATACTAAATCTGCCTATTGCAGGTCTTTCTTTAGGCCTGAAATGTTATATAAAATATAATTAGACATTAATTAACTTATCCAGACCATAATCAACTCTCGATGTCATCGCTAGCCTGCGATATATACTGGATTTGAATCCGATTTGCTGACCAACGCTCATTGATGATTTAATTCAAAATTGGATAATCTAGAGTATTATTTTTATTGTATCGACTTTAGTATTGATGAGCGAGGCTAGGCCTAAGATTCAACCGCTAAAATCTCGGTTCAGAGTCCATCAATTCCCTTTACATTATCTATTTTTTTACATTATCTGATCCCCCATAATTACCCTTTAAGAATAATTTAGTATCACTGTTCCCTTCACATGAAAAGTAATTTGACAACTGACCCCAAACTCCATGTAATCGAAGCCATAGTACGTCCAAAACCGATCAGCAATCCCAATTAGAATTTATAAAAATAATGTATTGATAGTAACTTAATATTTCATGTTAAAATTAAACAGAAAATGCCGTAGAATCCAAGTTATAGGGTCCCCAAGCATCAACCAATCAAATTGCTCATCATTGCTTATCCATAGCTACACTGATAGTCCCCTGGTTATCGAGAACCCCTAGCATCAACCAATCAAATTGCTCATCTATGCTTTTCCATAGTTATACTGCTAGTCCAATTCTTTGCTGGAAAGGCGGGGGATAAAAAGGGATTGGTCGTAGCGATATAAATCTTCCAGATAAATCCACCAGCGTGACTCGGCCCTAATTCTGTCTTTATGCAGTTATTCATGCTCTTAACTATATAAATAAGGACGAGTAAATGTAAACCTTACATGTTACAGAACAGTTTGACAAATTATTTTTTCTAGTAGCTGGGATTTATATGTTTATCTAACTAGTGTACTGCTACAAGCCGCCATCGTCGTCCAGAACAGTGTTATCAATTATTTTGTTCGTATCTGGGGTTTTCATCTGACAAGTGTACTGCCACAGGTCGCCATCATCCTCCACTGATTTTGAAACTTTACCGAAGTACCGATCGTCATCCAGAACAGTGTGATAACTTGTTTCTCTCGTAGCTGTAGCTGGATTTATCTATCTCTTTTTTCCCCCGAGTAGTGTACTCCTATAGTTCGCCATCGTGATAAATCATTTGCCTTTAGCTGAATTTTCCAGGTCATCCGAGTAGTGTACTGCTATAGTTCGCCATTGTGATAAATTATTTGCCTCGTCGCCGAATTGTCCTGTTTACGCGAGTAGTGTACTACTATAGTTCGCCATCGTAATAAAACATTTGCCTTTAGCTGAATTTTCTTGGCTATCCTAATACATGTATTGTGCTACTATAGTTCGCCATCGCCATCGCCATCGTGATAAATCATTTGCCTTTAGCTGAATTATCCTGGTCATCCGAGTAATGTACTAGTATAGTTCGTCATCGTCTCCATCACTTTTGAAACTTCATCATTTGCAAAATTTCTGGGAAGAGGCGAGATGGGAGGAACAATCAGTGGTTCATGTACGTCACTTTCATCAATGGATTTCTGTGATCCATTTTATCGGGTGAGCGTGATTTTGTTGTTAAAATAATTGGGACGGTGCTTTGTCAATTGGATTATTTATCATGGATTATGTTCTCTCAGATTCTCTGTGCTCAAACGATCTCGTCGAATTTGTGGAAGCCACGGTCTTCAATCCAAGTGTTGGCTGAGAAAGTTGATGGTGCAGGACACTTGACAGTTGGAATTCGATATAAGGGTAGGGTCTTATAGCAGTGGGGGGGGGGGGGAGGAGAACCACGACCTTGGACAGACGACCGTACTCCTTGACAAGTACAACCCGGGAATCGAAACCACGCCAGCTGATTTTCTTTCCGCTTTTTGAAGCTCTCACTTGGTGATACTACTATTTTCCGTCCAGGCGTGGTTTAAATTATGCGGTGGGTTGATTTTGTTTCAGAGACAAAAGGCGAGCGTCTGTTGACATCGCAAGTCGTTGCCAAGAAAGGTATACTCGCTCGTCACCATCTGGGACCTCATTATAGAAAATTCCGTCGAAGATTTGGTTTCTGTTTTCAGTCAGTGATAAAAAAAAACGACCCCCACCCCCGAATTAGAAAAAGATCATAAGATATGACAAAACACGACAAAAACTACAATTAGTAGAAGATCATAGGATATGACAAAACACGACGAAAAACTAATATTAATTAAAGATCCTAAGATATGACAAAACACGACAGAAAACTAAAATTGGTAAAAGTTCATAAGATATGACAAAACTCGACAAAAACTAAAATTAGTAGCAGATCATAAGATATGAAAAAACATGACAAAAAATTAAAATTAGTAGAAAATCTTGAAGATCATAAGATACGGCAAAACTCGACGAAAGACTAAAATTAATTGAAGATCAAAAAGATACAACAAAACTCGACGAAAAACTAAAATTAGTAGCAGATCATAACATACGAGAAAACACGACAAAAACCTGAAAGTAGTTCAACATCATAACATATGGACCCCCCCCCCCCCCAAAAAAAAAAACCCAAAAAAAACCACTCAAACTAGTTGTTTGTCATAACATAAGAAACAAACCATAAAAGACAATAAAATTATTAAGATTTGTATGAGATTACTTGTATTATCATAGCGTGGTAACCAATATTTTATGTATAATTTCGGCAAGTTGTCAATTCTCTTTGAAGGAACACTGTCTTCGATTTTAAGTTATGAAGAATCTGGGAATATACATCACCCAATTAGTAGTCACTCAGTCTATTTCAAATGAAATTAGATATTTAACAGGGTTGTGTAGATATGTATTAATGTCTATTCCCTCCGCTGGCATGATCGTTTTCTCCAACAGCTACATTGTCCAGCCTCTGCTACTCTCTCCGTTTGCAGCATTGTCCAGCCTCTGCTACTCTCTCCGTTTGCAGCATTGTCCAGCCTCTGCTACTCTCTCTGCTGGCATCATTGTCCAGCCTCTGCTACTCTCTCCGCTGGCAGCATTGTCCAGCCTATGTTACTCTCTCCGCCGGCATCATTGTCCAGCCTCTGCTACTCTCTCCGCTGGCAGCATTGTCCAGCCTATGCTACTCTTCCTGCTACTCTCTTCGCTGTCAGCATCGTTTCTCCAGCAGCTACACAAATCTACCAACATGTCCAGCCTATGTTACTCCTTTTAAGGGAGCGTTACCGTCCCCCGTCCCCAGCTTTGTATCAAATGAAATTAATTCCAACCTTTTTCATTGTTTCAGGTTTACCACGATACTTACAGGATGTCTATAAAGGATTCGGTCCTGTACAAGACAATAATGACGGGAGACCTTGCCGCACTAATCCCAGTATTGAGAGATTATTCAGAGTCTGGTCAGAGCTTCTTTCTGGAAGATCCAGATAATGGCGAAACGTTGATTCACCACATAGTGAATTACGGAGAGAAATACTGCGAACCACGGACCGTGTCCTTGATCTATCTGTTTGCCTATGCGCCATTTGATCTGGATAAGCCGAACATTAATGGCGATACGGCCTTGCATCTCGCCGTAAGAAAGAAAGGGGCTTATAGAATATTAATAGCTTTGATAAGGTAAGCGATGATTTAGATTGGATTGCTTCTAATATCGATCTGCAATGATATATCTGAAATATAACTACCAAGTTGTGATAAACATAAATTAAAACATGTGAAATATGAATGTTACGCTTGAGTTATGAACAACACGACAAAGAGAGTTTAGTAGGGGAATTTTTATGAGGAGGATCAAAATGAAACAAAACTTGATCACATAACTTTAGTTTATGAGGATGCATATTTGACAATCACCTTGTTAACTACAATACTATATACATATACACATTGACATTTACAAGAAAGTTGTATAGATATTTAAAGTATTTTGTACATATTGTGTATTATAAATGGATTTCAAAAAGTAAACATAAGTGTTTGTGTTTTAATTTGGACATTGTTTTATACAGATAGAATCTTAACTAATCCTAAAAATTGTTGTAAATAAATAGGAGTTATATATATTCAGACACCCCCCCCCCCCCATTGTGTTAGCCGATGGCACAAAGATTGTTTAATAATATTAACATTGTTCAATTTTAGATGCGGGGCTGACCCGGAAGTAAAGAATAATGAAGGTAAAACGCCGGAAGACATTCTTATAAAAGATCGTCCAAGTGGCTGGGAGGAAATGTTACATTGGTTAAATAAATTTAAACCCGGTAAGCTATTTGTTACGACATTTTAAATATTGTGAGTTCCAAGTGAGAAATTGGAGTTTTGCTCGGTCATAAACGCTACATCTATGCGTACTGGGGATAACACCTTCTAATGTATTGACCATCATCATTTACTTTAACGGTTTCTTTCTTGAAATCCCATGTAACCAAGGGGGTTGATTTGCCATTGAGTCAAGTGGTGTGGTTTCGATTCCGCGGATGTACGTGACAAGGAGTAGGGTCGCCTGTCCAACCTCGTGGGTTTTCTCCGGTTTCCTCCGCACCCCCCACCCTATTCGATCTGTCTTGACCAATGAGTTGTTCTCTGTGTAAAGTAATAGAACTGTGCTCTGATATTATTTAAGGTTTATATCGCGCTGTGACGGCAGAAAAACCTGATAAAAAGCTGATAGAAAGATTGTTGAGATACTGGTGCAGATTAACCATAGTTAAAAACTCCAAGATTATCAATTTAAAATGTATCGCACATTCTAATCATCACCAACTAGATCTAGTATATTTGTTGGAGAAATATGAAAATACTATCGAGTTCGCCATGGCACTATTATCGGGAAAAGTATGTGTCTTGAAATCTTGGAAAGGTCAAGGTAAGATATAAATATATAGATTATAATAATATCGTCATTTATAAAGCGCGTTAATACTGAAGAACAGTTGGTTGTTATATTCATGCACCGATTCCTTGCTTGACCCATTTTTCCGTTTTATAAAATTCAATAAATAAAAAAATGATGCACTACAAGTTTATTTAGTAAACCTGCTGTTACTCCCAGAGTACAAATATACTCATTTTATTTGAAGTTACTTTGATATTTTAATTTTGTTATTTTTGTTATTTTAATTTTGGTATTTTTGATATTTTGATTTTGATACTTTAATTTTGATATTTTAATTTTGGTATTTTTGATATTTTGATTTTGGTATTTTTGATATTTTAATTTTAAATTTTTTTTATATTTTAATTTTGGTATTTTTGATATTTTAATTTTGGTATTTTTGATATTTTAATTTTGATATTTTAATTTTGGTATTTTTGATATTTGATATTTTTGATATTTTAATTTTGATATTTTAATTTTGGTATTTTTGATATTTTAATTTTGGTATTTTTGATATTTTAATTTTGATATTTTTGATATTTTAATTTTAATCTTTTAATTTTGGTATTTTAATTTTGATATTTTAACTTTGATATTTTAATTTCGGTATTTTTGATATTTTCATTTTTCAGACCTGTGGAATACTATCGACATTAACACCAAGGATTATTCATATCAAAAATATTATAAAGGATACCCGGAAGAACCACAGCCCCTCCTAGCGGCAGTATGGGAAATTAATTCTATTGAAACTATTGAATATCTTATGTCGTTGAATCCAGATACAAACGTTCTCTACAGTGGAATGCCGAACTGTGAACCCAAACCATTGTTCTTTCATGTAATTGATTTTTTATTCTCTTTATGAATGTAACTGGAATGTAACGTCAAGTAAACCAAACACCTCTGTCATTTTTAAACTAACATGGATATTATTTTTTTTTCTACGTTATTTGTTTGTGCATTGCGAATTTTTTGCAATGTGAATTTTGTCTGTGTAAACTCTTTACACATGCATTATGCAAGAGCTAAATCTGCCTATTTCAGGTCTTTCTTTAGGCCTGAAATGTTATCTAAATTATTAGTTAGACATTAATTAACCTATCCAGGCCATAATCAACTCTAGGTGGCTGCGCTAGCCTGCGATCTTTAGTGGATTGTAAGCCGATTTACTGCATAACTTTCCTTCTCGATTAAACGATTAAATGGATAATCGAGACTATGCTGTTTATCGTACTGACTTTAGTAATGATGACCCAGGCTTATGGGAATTTCTGTCGCTTAGTTCTTGGTTCATAGTGGATCAATTTGAATGAAATTTTCACCAAATTGCCTTCTACCTTATATAGTTTTTAACTATTATAGTGAGAACTGCCAACTCGTTACCGAATCTCCCATAATGTATCTTTAATTTCCAGCTGTCAACGGTTCATTTACGTGCACGCCAACGCCAATATATTACATTGGGTGAACCTCGGTTTTTGTCCTATCCGAAGGACTAGAGACAACCCTTTATGAAAACCATGAAAGTTCTGAACATGTGCAACGTGCTATTAGAGGTCAATTTCGCCTGTCGGAGGATGTTTAACGTGTTACCAATTATATATCGTACGGAGTACCTATAAAAATTGTCCAGTCCTGGGTAAAATTCACCCAACCAAAAGCTCTTATTCACTAATTAATTTAAATTTTTCAATTTTAAAATTTCTGTTTCTCGAGAAATTGGAAGCGAAAGTTTCATTATTAAGTTGTGTGGATGCAATGACAAGCAACGGTTGCTTACTGATGATTATGAAATGAATATGAAATGAAAATTAAGTTAAATGATATTAAATAAATATTAAACGAAAGTAAATAAATTTTAAACGAATACAAATAAATATTTAATGCATATAAACTAATATAAATAAATGTTAAATGAATATTTAATGCATATTTACTGAATATGAATAAATAATAGACTAATATTTAAGTAATATAAATGAATATAAAATGAATATTAAATGCATATTTACTGAATATAAATAAATATGAGACGAATATTTATTGAATATAAAAAATATTAGACGAATATGTAATGAATATAAATGAATACAAAAGAATATTTAATGAATATAAATAGATATTTGAGGAATATTTAATATAAATGAATATTTAATGAATATAAATGAATATTTAATGAATATTTAATGAATATTTAATGAATATAAATGAATATGTAATGAATATAAATGAATATTTAATGAATATAAATAGATATTAGACGAATAATTAGTGAATATAAATGAATATTTAATGAATATAAATGAATATAAATATTAAATAAAGGTAAGCGAATATAACTTTAATATTTTTTGTAATATTTTCAGTTGATGGGTTCGCACGCTCCCGATCCAGCCATTATAAAAAAGATTTTAAAGGGGTGTGATATGAATTATCGTGCCTATAATGGACAAACAGTTCTACATGAAGCCATAGTACATGACGTAACCGAGGACGTCTTAAAGCATATTTTAAATCTGGGTGCTAACGTTGCATCACGTGATCGATATGGACAGACTGCGCGGAACTTGGCGGTGTCGTTAAATAAATTAACGTATGCCAGGCTAATAGACGAACACGTGTTACAAGCCGTACGAGAATGCAATGTTTCTAAGATAGAATCTCTAGTGTTAGCAGCATATGATTTTATTATCAATATCAGTGATAAGCAAGGACAAACAGCTGTGGATATCAGTAAAAAGAAAAGTTCAAAACAGTTGAAGGATGTCATTGAAAAGGTGTCGAAAACACAGGTATTACTTGGTTTCTATCGCTTCGTTTTGGGCATATTGGGAATTTTGTTTTTTAAACAATATTGGGACACAGTGGGAATTTTGTTTTTTTACACAATATTGGGACACAGTGGGAATGAATGACGGTGGATAGCAGAACATTTGGACACTTAGAAATGACTGACTGGGCACAACATTCGAAGAAATATGAATTATTGACGTGGGACAATTTGAAATTTGGTACGAAGTGGAAATTACTGACCTGGGACAATTTGAAATGAATGACGCGGGACAAAGCCCGCGAGTAAACCTGTTAGAATTTTTTCGCCTCATGGCGTTTGTTACCTTGCCAGACCCTTTTTTGATCATTAATGTCAAGGGTTGGTAATCCCGAGAAACGTTCATGACCAACACCGGGACCGTCTGCGTCCTGCTAGTGAGAAAGCGTCATAGTCTACGTAGAGCCCCACCTGTCTCCCCAGTAAATGGAAACAGCTTTAAATTGGAAACTTAACGTGTATATATGTACTCATTTTATTACAAAATTACCAATACTTTAAAAATTACAATTACTTTTAGAATTTCTTTAAATATTATAGTTACTTTTAGAATTTCTTTAAATATTATAGTTACTTTAAAAATTATAGTTACTTTAAAATTACGATTACTTTAAAAATTACTTTAAAAATTACAATTGATTTAAAATGAACAATTACTTTAAAATGTACAATTACCTAGCTGGAAAATGAAATTTAAAATTGCTTTAAAATGGTTACTAAAACATTGTTGCACTTTGTATCGGTAAAGTTTTAAAGGTGTTCCGGTTTGAGCTGGGATGTCACATCATTCGCCAATTTAGTTGAACCGTCAGCAATGCCAGATATCGACTGATGATGATAAATGACAATAATCAACACTTTCTTCAACTTGACCACAGTATACAATTCTTTTTTGCGTTTCTTTCTCTGTCACATTTCAGAGGGGTGGGAACGTTGTTTGACGAACGATTGTCAGGAAGGAACTTGTCAACCCGACAATAATAAACCGTATTTTGCAGGGGACGTTGTTTTACCCTATCTCTAACCCGACAATAACAAACCATATTTTCCAGGGAACGTTGTTTAACCCTATCTCTAACTGACAATAACAAACCGTATTTTCCAGGAATACATAAAGAAGTTACATGTTGTTACGGATAAAGGCAGTGTTGGTGTAACCAAGAAGTTACTAGCTGTTTGTAAACGTATGGCTGTAGCGTTAGATAAATGTGGACGTAACGTCTTACATCACGCCGTTCTACACCGCCACATAGAGTTGGTATTATATATATCGAAAGAATTTCCCAGTACATTAAACGCCAAAGATAATGTAAGTACAAAATCTGTTTACAAATTAAATAGAGAATCTCGTACCAGTTGATATTTTTTGAAATCAAAAAAGACGATTAGGAGATTTTATTTACCACCCAATCCCTTCTTACATGCACAAATAGATAAATATAATTCTTTGCTGTAGATTTCACTGTTCTTTGAAAATAAAAAAAAGTAGTTCCTTTTCAACTGACCAATCAAATTCATGTAAAGCGATATCTCCTAAGGAGATATTGCAGTAGATTATGAAATATATCACACAACCGATATCTACTGTAGATAGAGGATATTTGTCGTTTTAGAGTGAATAACATATTTTATTTTATGATCAATAGTGGAATACCGCGTTTTATCAGTGAAATAAAAGTGTTATTCCACTGGCTAGCAGTAGTCCATGTTGTTTTTACCTAAAATGATTGTAAAATCATAAAATAAATAGAACATTTGTCGTTTTGTCGTGAATGACATATTTTATTTCATCTCTAAGCAAGAAAACTTTATATTTTCACTCATGCTACGCATTCGTGAAAATATAAGTTTTCTTGCTTCTCGATGAAATAAAATATGTTATTCACTCTAAAACGACAAATATCCTCTATTTATTTTATCGAGAAGCAAGAAAACTTATATTTTCACGAATGCGTAGCAAGCGACCCTACTAATTGTCGACAATACTGACCCAATTCCAGAATCGACAACTGAATAAAGTTGACAAATTTTATATTTTCAGTTAGGACGATCGCCATTTCATTATGCATACTTATTTTTACCCTGTGACAAAATTATTAAACATATGGAAGCAAACGGAGCGGATGGAATGATCCAAGATTATGTAAGTATATAAGAGAGAGAGAGAGAGAGAGAGAGAGAGAGAGAGAGAGACGGGGGGGGGGTTAACACGTGTATCACATTGGTCAATAGAGTAGAGCGAAATCCCCAAAGAAGAATGCGTTGGAATAATTGACAATTTTGTGCGACATACGCAAGTTTGCATCCAACTCGATGGAGGCCATTTGCAGCATGACTGAATCTTTAGGGAATGATCGTACACAGACTGAAGTTTGTAGAATTTATAGGTTTTCTGTATTCATCCTGTATATCTCTAGACATAGGGCCATGCATAAGGGCCCAAAGATAGGTGGAGTTCACGGATGCTATCGCGGAGTCCTGAGTAACTATAAACTAGCGTGATTATTTAAAACAAGTTCATTTAACATAGTCGCCATTATGTAGGATATGAAATAGATGAATGCTATTGTTACCAGGCAACCGCACTTAGTGACAGATAACAGATATGATTGACAGTCTATAAATGTCATATTTATTTATATATGAACGATGAAACTTACAGATCGTTTTTAGATTTTTTAGATTTGTTATATCTTTGAGGACCATAAAACATTAACTTTACATAAAAATAAACACGATTACGTTTAATGTGCTGATTTGTTCTGTGGAGTGGGTGTCTATCTAGCTATATTTAAAATTGTAAGTCAACAGTTATAGCTATAGTTGTAATATAACTCATTTCGCGTTCGACTGTCACTGTCGACAGAAAAATATGAAACTAAAATTAGTAAACAAACTGACTTCACTTAAACATACATTATGCAAGAGCTAAATCTGCCTATTGCAGATCTTTGTTTAGGCCTGAAATGCTATCTAAATTATTAAATATATATTAATTAACTTATCCAGACCATAATCAACTCTCGATGGCATCGCTAACCTGCGATGTTTATTGGATTAGGTTCCGATTTGCTGTTGGAAATCACGAAATGGATAATCGAGACTATGGTTTTTTATCCTACCGACTTTAGTAATGATGATCGAGGCTAGGTCGAAAATTAAATCGCTAAAATCTCGGTTCATAGTGGATCAATTTGACTGAAATTTTCAGCAAATTCCCTTTACATATCTAGTTTTTAACTATTATAATGAGAACTACCAGCTCTTTATCTAATCTCCCATAGTGTATATTTAATATTTCATAATTACATTTTAATCGTTTACATTCGACAACATCGGCAATAGAAATAACACATCTGATAAACCAAAATTAAAGGGACAATAACACTCTTGCTGGCTTGACAGCTCCAGAAAATAAATAATAGCCTTATTCTAAGTTTATGTGTCCTACCTGTTGTGTAAATTATCCATTACATCCTATTTTACTTGTCCAGAGGGTTCGAAAATATTTTTAAATCCAAGTCACATTTGAAAAGCTTTACGTCAGGCTTTTCAAATCATTTAGTTGAATTTTTCCAATTTTTTTAAAATTAGGTGTGTTAAGATGAAATTTGTATCATCAATTAATTGAAATATTGTAAAATAGTACAATTTGTTGACCAGAATAAAGATTGGGACATATTATTCAGTTACAACAAGAGTGGTATTGAGCCTTTAACAATAATCAGTTTTATAACAATTGCCCCCCCCCCCCTCGTCCACCCCACACCACCCTGTCTGAAAATACTATTATAATTGTATATGATTAAAAATACACTATGTAAGATTTAAATAACCAGTTGGCCGTTTTCACTGTATTAATTCAAAAATAGCTAATAAATAATGAATAAATTCAAAATTCAAGTAAAAAAAAATGTCTAAATAATAATTTATATAACGTTTGAAGCCTAAATAAAGACTTGCAATAGACAGATTTTACTCTTAAACATACATTATGACGTCACATTAATAATGACGTCATTGTAATTTAAACATACATTATGCAAGAGCTATATCTGTCTATTGCAGGTCTTTCTTTGGGCCTGAAATGTTATCTAAATTATTAAATAGACATTAATTAACTTATCCAGACCATAATCAATTCTAGATGGCATCGCTAGCCTGCGATCTTAAGTGGATTGTGGGCCGATTTACTGCATAACTTTCCTTCTCGATTAAACGTTTAAATGGATAATCGAGACCATGCTGTTTATCGTACTGATTTTTGTAATGATGACCGAGGCTAGGCAGAAATTTCATTCTCTTAGTTCTCGGTTCATAGTGGATCAATTTGAATTAAATTTTCAGCAAATTGCCTTTACGTTATCTAGTTTTTAATTATTATAGTGAGAACTGCCAACTCGTTATCGAATCTCCCATAATGTATCTTTAAATAATGTATCTTTAACCTAAAACTTGAACAAAACCCACATTTTAAATCTGCTTCGATTATTTGAATAATCTTCCTAACACAACCAGGTCATTATTGGACTAACATATGGTCAACCATTAAACTCAGTATTTCTAATTGTATCTTTAGTATAATTTATATATTGTATATATTGTATATTTTATATATTGTATATTTTATATATTGTATTATTTATTTTATATATTTTATATATTGTATTATTTATTTTATATATTGTATATTTTATATATTGTATTATTTATTTTATATATTGTATATTTTATATATTTTATATATTGTATTATTTATTTTATATATTGTATATTTTATATATTGTATATTTTATATATTTTATATATTGTATTATTTATTTTATATATTGTATTATTTATATATTTTATATATTGTATTATTTATTTTATATATTGTATTATTTATTTTATATATTGTATTATTTATATATTTTATATATTGTATTATTTATTTTATATATTGTATATTTTATATATTTTATATATTGTATTATTTATTTTATATATTGTATATTTGTAGGCTGGTTTTATACCGTCTGATTATCTCAAGTCAGGATGTCACACGACCAACCAAAGAATAAAGGAGATCGTCGAGTTTGATTTAGATGTTTACATAGTGGAGACCAACTTAGAGAAAAACTTCTTCGCGGCAATTAAGGTAAACCACATAATGAGAACATATTTATGCCGTTGAGACCTAGGAAACATTTATAAACATAAATTGATTGTATATCACTTTATATACACTAACTTTACATTATGTGCGTTTAGACCCCTTTGCTTGGGGGCGTTGGGTGGGGGCGAATAGTTAAGACGTGCGCGTTGTATCATAAGGTCTGTCATTCAATTACCTGGTGTGGTTTCTATTCCCCGGTTGTAGGTGACAAGGAGTAGGGTCGCCTGTCCATCCTCGTGTGTTTTCTTCGGGTCCTCCGGTTTCATCCCACTGCTAAAGAACCCTACGCGCAAGCGAATTATTGAGATGGAAATGAACCATAGGTTAGTCCCGAAATAACCTAGTTTTTATCTAGTGGACGTTAAACCCCATTTCTCTCTCTCGCCCTTCCATTTTTGTCTAATGTAAGGTTCCGAAGAATAAAGCTATACCCTTCTATTATTATCTCGTCAGCATGGGCATATACCATCATTGTCACACAAGAGAGAGAGAGAGAGAGAGAGAGAGATGGGATTTTACGTCCACTCGACACAAACTGATAACCATTCGGCCATCCAACCCCCCACCATTGTCACACAAACATTTTCTAGCAATCTTGTCAAATCTATATGGAGTGGAGGCTACCGATATTATAAAATGATGAAACAATATTAGTTATATTGTAATTCTAAATAATTTTATTTATTTGTATTTTAGAATGGTGACTTAAGAACTGTAGAAAGATTAACGGAAGGTTTAAAGGAATTTGGTGGAGGTTTCTGTAGATTCAGTAAAATGTTGTTTGATTGTTTAGATTATGGACAGTGGCATATCGCTAATTATTTAATAACAATCGGCTTTAACACAGACATCTGGAAACAGGTAAACAAACCTATATACTTTACCTGAGGTAATTTATAGAAAATATCTGGAAACAGGTAAACAAACCTATATACTGTACCTGAGGTAATTTATACAAATATCTGGAAAGAGAGAGAGAGATAGACAGAAAGGGGGGGGGGGGGGTAACGTGCACTCGACACAAACAAATCTCTAATAGAAAATATCAGTCCATAAATAGTCCAATTGCGATCAGTATTTACAAAGATATGTTAATATAAGAAACTTCATCGATCTATGCTGCTCGCTGTGCAATAAGCCTACCGCCATTTTGTTGTCCGTGACTATTGATTGATAGGCCTGTTTTTATTCCGGCTGAATCCAGAAACCAAGATGGGAAATTACGTAGCGTTGGCATTTTGATTTTGTTTTCTTAAAGATACATTATGTAAGATTTAGATAAAGAGCTGGTCGTTCTTGCTATAGTTGTTCAAAAAAAGGTAATGCAAAATGAAGACATTGAAAATTTCATTCATATTACTTTATTCTGAGCCTTTGAAGGTTTGACAAGATGTGTACACTGATTGAAACCACCATACTGGTTGTTCGAAGCTTAGCCTCTCTTCACCATTTTTAGATTAAATCATTAAATGGCTGAACCGTTCTAATCTACTTAAAATCGGACCTATCCAATGGCACCGAGAGTTGATTATGGTCTGAATACGTTAATTAATGTCTAATTAATAATTTAGATAAACATTTCAGGCCTAAAGAAAGACCTGCAAATAGGCAGATTTAGCTCTTGCATAATGTATGTTTAAATTACAATGACGTCATTATTAATGTGACGTCATAATGTATGTTTAAATAAAATGTTAAATAATGAACCGAGAGTATATGTTGATATTATAGCGAAAGATGCCAATGAGGCTACTTTAGTTGACCTTGAACACAACCGGTTTACATTAAAGATGGGTTCCCAGAAAAGTATTTATCGGGTGGTTATTTCCAATAAAAGTATGGCAATTTTGGTATATATGGAAAGTAGAGATATCCAATCTTACTAGAAAAATACAGGATTCCCCGAAAAACACTCATACACGTGATGTCAAAGGTCACAAGCGAACATTGAGCGCTTGATGTACAAGTTGATAAACTTTATGAAGAGTTAGACGTACAATACTTTCTGAGATAAAAATGACGGAAAAAGACGCGGGTATTGGATAATCCAAGAATTTAATTAGAATTCGATATTTGTAATAAATAGTAAGCGATTAAAGACAACATCGTCTTATGTATGCAATGAATTCTCCTCTGACTCCCACGACGTGACGTAAACATGACCTGGTTTGATCGAATTTTAATAGCAGGGCATTCCTTCGCAATTACAATGTTTGAGAAGGATTTGAAGCATATTTATGACAAATTAATTACTTTGAATATGTTTTTGGTCCATATATACCAGTAAATCACCCAGTTTGTACGCGGGAACCCATCTTTAACAGTGGCTTATAGGCTTCTATTTGTGACAACTTCCTGTTTTAAGTTTATTCATCCCGGACATGACATGACCTCAATGACAAGATTTCTAAACAGAGCGTGAAAATAAGTGTGAAGGATGGTGTATTGAAATAGGATATTAAACGGCATATTTTATCATTAAAGATCACCGGAAAAGCTTCATAATGCAAGTAATTGTGTCAACATATCCTTTCCATAAGTATAACTTTTCGTCAATAAACAATCCGTGTAGCCATTTTAGTATTTCTGCTCATAGAAATGTAGACTAGAATAGACGGACTAAAATGAAGTCGCGGATTGTTTTGACGGAAAGTTACGACTGTTCAGGGAGAACGGCGGAAATTACTAACGTTGAAATTTAACTGTTGACATTTTATACTTGAAATAATTATTTTGACATAATTACTTGCATTATTTAAATGATAATTGTAGCCCAAAAAGTGGCGTCGAATGAGTACAACAGTCCTCTAAATTTCCTGGGCGACTCACTGCGAACATAGATAATACCGTATGATTGCCGACTCATGAATTCTCGACGTTATGTTGCGAAACGCGTGAAACGGCGAGAAAGGTGGTTGATCACTTCCGGTCTTCTGTTCTCGCTGTTTGTTTACTATAGGCCCAGTAGCGATATTTTTATTTAGCGCTTTCTTGTAGTATTAAATGTGGCATCATCTGGTTAAATGGTAACGAGAAATAGAAGCAATGTTCGAGGTAAGAATAAAAATGAATATCTTAGAATTTTGATATTATATTGTATTATAAATAAGTATTACATTTCATGAAAATCTCGACACGTGTGTTGTCCAGTTAAGGCAAAGTTTGACAGCTTTGACCTACTTTTAAAAATCGGCAAAATAGAGTTTTCAATTCATTAATTTGTAAATAATACTTGCAGATCATTAATAAATCGTAAATATATAAAATACAGTTTGGTATGAATAATAACATTGCTGTGTTGGCTATATATAAGCTTTTAATTACACAATTTTTTAAAAATCTTTTGTATTTTCAGCAGAACGTACTGGTACCCGTCTTTTGTTTGCTGCCTAGGGGAGTGCCAGCTTGTGAAGCAAATATATTTCATGTTGAATTATTGTGATACTGATAAATAATTGTATGTTTTATTTATGTTATTTACTTCTTTTCATATTGTGTGTGTTTGTGTGTGTGGGTGGGGGGGGGAGGGGGTATAAATATTGAGACACTAGACATTAATATATTGATAAAGTATTTTATTTTATGTATCTATTTATTTATATTTTTTTTTTTTTTTATTTCATTTTTTTTTGGGGGGGGGGGGGAGGGGGGATATTATTATTTTCATTATTTTATTTGTTTTATTTTAATACTCAACAAGGGATTTGGTTTAAATTGTTTGATTGTATTATATCATTATTGATTTTAATTTTGTATAGTTGAATTAAGCATAATTATTTAATTTTATGTATTTCAAACATCAGAAAATAAACCATTCAAGCTATGTGTAATGTGTTTGTATGGTTATGTTGATGGTTAAATAGGTTGAGAATTGAAGCAAAATGACCAATTTTCGCGAAAAAGGGATCTGCCAGTTGGTGTTACAGACTTCAGTCAATTTTGCTCCGATATTGATAAGGTTGGTTTTGTTACAATGCTGAGATGTATGGCTTTTCAGGAAATAACACGGTTCTGGAGAAAAATTAATATTTAAAAATAGCTGCCGGTCGATATTTAAGGATATGTGTTTACTGTTCCATGTAATTAAATTAATCATTAAAAATATAACCTACAATTTTTGTTTCAATTAAATAAGTTAATCTTAACAATAATATTAGGCTATTGCGTTTTTTGATTTAAATAATTTAATCTTATCAGTTGAGGAAGAAAGAGTTGGTATTTCAATCTAATAAGGTGCCTTTAAATAATATAATTATTCATCCAATTATGTAACATTAACATTGTCTGATCGCTTTATTTAATAATACATTTATTAATTTATCATAAAAGTATTGTTAATTAAAGATGCGTTTTTAAATGTTAAACAGGCATGATGTAAGAGCTAAATCTGCTTATTGCAGGTCTTTCTTTGGGCCTTAATGTTATGTAAATTATCAATTAGACATTTATTAACATGAAAAGACCATAATCAACTCTCGATGCCATCTGATTGCTCAGATTTTAAATAGATTAGAACGGTATGGTGGTAAATTTTCAATATATTCAATTTGCATTATCTATTTTTGAAATGTTATAGTTAATAACGAGAACGACCAGCTCTTTATCTAAATCATAATTCCCCTTCAAATTTATGTCTATTGTTATTGTTTTATTTTAATTTAGGACATAAAGAAATATATTTTGGTTCTCGCTTGGATGACGTGTTTTAATTTTTTTTTTTTTTTTAAAAAAAACCCTAAGAAAACAGTCTTGTTAATTACCCTGGAGACACGAAGTAACTCTGTAAAAAAAATTGACTAGATCTATAGGCTAATTTGTCAAGTATGCAAACAAGTTAAATGTTAATGACATGAATGATATTGGATACCGTAATCATATATTCATATAAACAACATGATGAGATAAATGTAGTGCCTTACAATTTTTAAAAACTCATCTGTTACAAACAAGTGATAACTTAGAGCTAAAGACTTCGTGTAGGTATGTTTTGCCAAGCGCTATGAACACAATTTTTGCGGAATTTTGGCGCTATAGAAATGGACGTTCATTATATTTATTTATTTGGTTCTTCTGGAAAAATACATACATCTATTTAAACACCAAAAGTACTTGGCTGTACTGTTCAAAAGCTTATAGTTCCAAATTTTTAAACAAAACATCTTTCACATGATTTAATTAGCTATTTATTTTTATATCGAAGCCCGAAGAACAGGAAATCAAATTGGTGTGGCCAACATTGAAATATCAGATATCAAGGATGAAGTTGCCTTTATCAACTCTTGTAAATCTTTTAATGTACAGGATTCCTGGAAGCATCTATTTTAGAACAAAAATTCCTTTTCATTGATAACTAAAGCAATAATTCCTTTTTATTTAATACTAATAGTGTTTTCTTTTTCCTTATATATAATTGTTATATCTACTGAAGCTAATTTAATTTCTCAACAAAGCCTAGATCAAAAAGACTATGAAATAATTGCTTACATTGGGGTGGATTTATATAAGTAAACTTCTTTCCAGTTGTGCAAGCTGAAAAAAAAGTATGTGTGTATTTTTTATTTTTTTTGGGGGGGGGGGGGGGTCTGCATTTATAAAATTAACTAAATTAAATGACAGAGCGTCAGAGGGACTTAAAATAAAATGGCCATTTTCTAAAATTATTAATTAGGCCTAGATTGGAAAAGAATTTTGTACGGATATTTACATCTTTATCAACTAAAGTATACAAACAAAGCTGAATTTATTTAAAAAATGCACATTTGAATATAAACAAGATTTTTAAAACTGTTCTAATATACCATGCAATTGATAATAAAATGCAACATCTAATTTTATTAATCATACTATAGATAGGCCTATACCGTAGGCCTGTGTGTGGCACAGAGGTGCGGGTTAGTTAGCTCGCAATATAACCTTTTTCCTTCTGCAAATTAAATTGTAGAACATTTTTTTTGAAGTATTAGAAAAATAAAAATAAAGGTGTTTGAAGTATTATCTCTATATCAAAAATATTTCCTAATTTTAGTGTAAATTGGTACGGTACATGATTCATGAATGAAGAAAGGCATTTTTTGCCCATTTGTAACCTTTTTTCAACTTAACGTCACACAGTAGCTATTTCATCTTTTGCAATAATCTAAAAATATTTTGGAAGGAGATATCTTGTTCTTTTTTTTCATATAATTTTTATATACGTGTTCATTTTATTAATTTCATAAACGTAAGTTTCAAAAATGTCAATTTCGCGTGTCACTGTGCGTACGTACTGTCGAAAGCTAGACCGGAAGTAAACAACCCCCCCCCCCCCCTGCGCAAAAAAATATGCGCACGAACCAGAACGCAACATTACGTAAAGGGCTAAAGACGAGTCGGCAATCATACGGTATTATCTATGCTGCGAATGAATATTTTCTGTGTGCTAGACTCTGTTTGCAGTGGCCAAAAATTCTACACCTCAAAACTTTATTCTAGGAAATCTTCATGAATTTTGTATGTCATCAACAATGAAATTCAACCATTGGCTTATTGAAACACACACCTGAAATACAAAAAACAAAGATAGTGAGTGTATTTGAATCATAATGGGTAAATTTCATTTCAAGGCTGGTCTGACCATAATGGTTGCTATGGTCATTCTATCATAATCAGACTGGTCAAAATCGAAGATTTTCAACAAGTCAATAAAAACACTACAATTTATTGAACTCCGTATGGACCGTAAATAACTGATTGGGATATGTTTTAAAAAATATACAAGTCGGGCTGACACTGATATGAATAGGACAGAGACTAATTTTCATACACAACACAGGCCAGGGTTTTTTGCGAAGAAAAAAAAATCACAGCGTCGAAATGACAACGTAAACAAGCACAGCAACCACGCGCGTACGCTACAAAGCATATATCTACACGGTCACACGAGTGTATGGACATTTATCAAACATGATATGCAATTTATTTCGAACCTAGTCACTGCTGGAGTTCAAAATCATTTAAAAAGTACATAAAATACACTTACAATTTCTGTTTCGATCTTTAAAATTATCGCAGAGTGACCTCCCTTTCCAAACAGATACAATTAACCAGTCGCTTAGTGAACCAAATAGAATGGAAATGAGTGTTACTTTATTACGTCACGGATATTTTCATTACGTCAAAATTGTTTTCCTTGGTATTTACGTCATTAAAACCAAAAAACGACCGTCAACTATCGCGAAAGAAAGAATTCCAAGAAAAATGTTAAATATTTTCGGCTACAATATCGATAAACACCTCCTGTTTAGAATTTATCGGACTGTTATTGTCCATTTGATACCGCTTAAATTTTTCATTAGAGGCCGAGATCGCGTTTCTAAACAGTCGGTGTTTATCTCCTAAATAGAACACAACAGTCGAACATAAATAAAACACAACAGTCGAACATAAATAAAACACAACAGTCGAACATAAATAAAACACAACAGTTGAACATAAATAAAACACAACAGTCGAACATAAATAAAACACAACAGTCGAACATAAATAAAACACAACAGTCGAACATAAATAAAACACAACAGTCGAACATAAATAAAACACAACAGTCGAACATAAATAAAACACAACAGTTGAACATAAATAAAACACAACAGTCGAACATAAATAAAACACAACAGTCGAACATAAATAAAACACAACAGTTGAACATAAATAAAACACAATAGTGGAACATAAATAAAACACAACAGTCGAACATAAATAAACACATAAGTCGAACATAAATAAAACACAACAGTCGAACATAAATAAAACACATAAGTCGAACATAAATAAAATAAAACAGTCGGATACAAGTAAAATACAACAGTCGGACATAAATAAAATACAATAGTCGGATAATAAAATACATTGATACATAGATACAACAGTTGTACAAGTGCGAACGAGTTTTGGAAAACCTTGAAGGTTCCTTTTACAAAAATAATCATTAATATTAAATGTTTATTTTACAGTATGAACATTGTAGTCCCGACGACCCACTGTGCGCCATGATGGAGTGTAATCATGGTATGACGTCATTTGCCCAAAGAGTTCACCAGATCAAGGCCATTGAGGTTCATGCCTTACTGGAACAGAGAAATAAAAACAAGGTTTGTATGTTTCATTATCACTTGCTTCAGGAAATAAAATTGGGATTAAATACCTTATTTTGTGCCCCAATCCGGGTAAATGAAGACGAGCGTATGAGTGAAAATTTGCCCGGACAGAGACTTTTCCGCCCACGCTTAGTTAAGCCCAACTGGCTTATTCCCATTCGAACGACTAGGCGCTATTTATTGCAGCATTGCAGCATTAGCCACGTATATACTGTCCCGTGTACGGCACATTTCACTTACAGCATTACCCACATATATACTGCCTCGTGTACGGCACATGTCACTCTGTTTTTGTTGTCTATATTTGTGTTTTTATTTATTGTCAGGCATCTGTAAAACCAGCCGGAGGACGACCGGGAGATGGAATGTTGGACGGCAGTGTTAAAGTCTTCTAACTAACAGCCCAGATCGTGATTACTAGAAGACATCGTGAACACAACATTTACACTCACAGCATAAAATTTTCATAATTAAACTGTTTTTTGATTCTGTTATCGACTTACGGTTAACTTTCAGACCTACTGAGAGGAAAGGGTCCCATGCCCGCCCGGAATCAGTGGAGGGGCCTGAGCAAGGGCCAGTGAAAAATAGAATCTGAAAATAACAAGCTTCGTGTTCTCTTCTTGACGCAAAAAAAACAACAAACCCTATGAATTAAATCTAAAAAAAATTATTTATGAAAGATTTCACAAATAAAAATCGGACGGCGTGAGGTCAGGGTTTTTGCCTGGAGCCCGCATGTTCACCAAGATGTACTTATCTTGAAAATTAATCTAAATTTCTCAAATCTCATAATGCTGTATTCATATATATAAAGTTTTGGCTAATCGATCATTCTCATTTCTCAAGTTTCATTGATCATGTTCATCACTAAATATTCTATTTCATTATTTACATGAAAATTTAATATAATAAAAAATGTTAGTTATGCGAACTACTGAAATGAAAAAAACAAAACAAAACATAATGTTTTTGTTAATCAGGAACTGGTTTCATACACTTGGTTATCTGCTTCTTGGCCTTGTTCGTCAAAAAAAACCCAAAAACAACAGTCTAAGGCTCCGCCAAATCGAGTTTTGATATGACGTCACAATTTCAAGATGGTGGCGATGACGTCATGTTCAGTTACTGGTTCACATTGTACGCGTGTAGGCTTACTTCTTTTTCTCTCCTCGTGCCTTTCTAGTCAGCCAATCATCACAGTGAACAGTATTTTAAAGATGACGTGAATTTACCTTATAAGTAGTTTCTAGTTTAAACGATGAGAGTGACGTAACATACAGTGAGTTTAAACAAACAATGATGTTTCAAATGCAATCCTCTCTCTCTCTCTCTCTCTCTCTCTCTCTCCCAGTACTGGAATCTGCTCAAGTATCACGTTGTGTTCTGACAACAGATTAGGACAGATTTTAACCTTATGTTTATTACATTGTATTATTTTGTAAATATAAACGTCATCCATTTTGGACATTATAATATAGGTCAGATTTTGCCTTATCTTTATAACATTGTATTGTAAATGTAGCCGTCATCCATTTTGGGCATTATAGTATAGTCAAAATGGTGACTATTTTGCAGAATTCGTCGATTAGGAAATATTATGCCTTACGCTTATTGCATTGTCTGTAAATGTAACCATCACCCGTCTTGAACGTTATATAATGAAAATAGTGGTCATTTTGCCGAGTTTGTTAACTAGATTTTGAACTCTGAGTGTGTATATAGAAAATAACAGACATGCGATAGAACGCGAATGTGACAGACATAATTGTTGTAATGTATGCATATATTTATTTATAAAAGAAAAATTTTAATGTTTAGTTAGATATAATCAGCACTATTTGAGGCTAACATGTGTTTTTATGAATGTGTGGGACCACAGCGGAGTCTAACCCGACCCGTCATGACGTTGGCGTTATATATTGTATCAATGCTTTTTATGGTGTTTAATAAAGATAAATAACATAAATGTTTGTGTTTATTAAATTTAAGGGAATCACGGTGGCTAAGTGGGTAAGACGCTGGCTCGCTAGCCTGGAGGTCGGTGTTCCATCTCTGCATTGGCCGAGAAAGTTCATCCAGATTTTCCGGCATGGTTCTCTCCCTTGTCAGTGATACAGGACGGAGGGCCTGACAAGGACAGCTGTCTAGTCGTTCGGATGGTCAGAGAAACCGAGGTCAAATGTACACATCGGCGTGCACGTAAAAGATCCCTTGGCAGTTGGATTTCGATATAATTCGAGTAGGCCGTATACAGTGCGGCTGTCCGGGCAAAATTTCCCGCATAGCCCGTTTTCATTAGCCAAGTTCGGAGCAGAACAGTAGGATGTTAAACTCCATTTCATTTCATTTTATTTCATTTTATTTCATTTGTGTTTATTAATATTAAAAATCTGGTCTTTGTTTCCTTCCGGTGTTTGGAGGGTGCCACGGTGGCTCAGTGAGTAAGACGTTGGCTCGCTTAACTGGAGGTCCCGTGTTCGATCCCTGTGTTGACCGAGAAGGTTCATCGGAATTTTCCAGCGTGGTTCGCCCCTTGTCAGTTATGCAGGGCGGGTTCTGGCATGAGATAGCGTATAGTCGTTCGGACGGGATGTAAAAGATCCTTTGGCAGTTGGAATTCGATAAGACTAGACCGCAGCACCGCTGTCCGGGCAAAATACCCCTCGTAATCCCGTCTTTTTAGCCAGTCGGTTCAGAACAGTAGGATGTTAAACCCCATTTCATTTTTGTTGGTTAGCCGAGTGATCTGTCATGCCGGGTGTAGATCATTGCGTCAAATGTTGTGATGCCGTTCACAGACTTCCGTTGGCTGCCTAAACCCTTTGTTCAAACATGGCCACCTCCACGGAAACATTGACATTGAACGAACCTTGAACTTTGCCACTCAATTATCACAATTCGCGATGATCGAGGAATCTGATAGGCCCCCAGCTGTGTCGGTAGCCAATCGAAATTAGTGCCGAAATATGCAGGGTATTACGTGAGGGGCTTGATAAGATGTACGAAGTCAAAGCGAGATCATGCTTTCTATCGATTATGCTGATTTTAAGATTCCCCCCATGACTACCAACGTCTCCTGCACCTTAGTGTAATATGGAAATATATATACACCATGTTCGGAAAAGACCTAGTTTGTGCTGAGTGGAAGTTTTGCTAGACAACGACGTTTCTGTCCACTCTTCACCTGTCACTGTTTCTTATACCTCGGGTTTTCGTCCCATCTGAACGACTAGACTCTGTTTCTTATCAGGCCCCCACCCCACATTCCAAAATCGGTTCTCAGTTGCGGGACTGAATAAGAAGTCCCATTCCATTACACTCCGCGAACACTTCCATAGTAGACTCTACTCAAGTGGCGTGGTTTCGATTCATCACTTGGACGTGACAAGGAGTAGGGTCGCCTGTCCAAACTCCTGGGGTTTCCCCGGTTTCCTCCCGCTGCCCCCAAGCGAATTATTGAAATAAAATTGAACCATATGTTAGTCCATAAATGACCTATTTTGTGTCGAGTGGACATTAACCCCCCCCCCCTCTCTCCCTCTCTCTCTCTCATAACCATAAATGAATTTCAGCCGCCAAGGGATCTTTTACATGCACGATAAAGTGTATCTCGGTTTTTCGTCCCATCCGAACGACTAGACAGCTATCATTTTCTGACGTATTGACATGACATTGTGTTAAACCAATGTTGAATTCTAGATCTTTTTAGTGTTCAATTTTTAATATTCCTGTACAGTTAAAATAAAGAAGCGAGGGCCCCAGTCATCGTTATTCTTAGATCAGTTGGGGATCACGTGGCTAAGTGGGTAAGACGCTAGCTCGCTAGCCTGGAGGTCGGGTGTTCGATCCCTGCATTGGCCGAGAAAGTTCATCCAGATTTTCCGGCGTGGTTCTCCCTTGTCAGTGATGCAGGACGGAGGGGCTGACAAGGAAAGCTGTCTAGTCGTTCGGATGGGACGAAAAACCGAGGTCCCGTGTACACATTGGCGTGCACGTAAAAGATCCCTTGGCAGTTGGAATTCGATATAAGAGTAGGCCGTAGTGCCGCTGTCCGGGCAAAATTTCCCTCATAGCACACTGTATGGCGTATGCCCGTCTTCATTAGCCCAGGTTAGGAGCAGAACAGTAGGACGTTAAACTCCATTTCATTTCATTTCATTTTCTTAGATCAGTTAACAATTGTGTTACAGCTGGTATAATTCCTGTTTTTCTCCAGTCATTCTCAGGGTGAAATCATCGATGGAGTACAGAATAATCTACCATTGTCCGTCACCAATCGTATATCTATAATATTGATTTTAAATCGATAAACTTATCTATGAAATATTCGTGTGTACAGCAGCTGTTTGACTTTATAATAGCCTGTAAATCATTTATCGATATATCGATGTATTATTGACCTATGCATACAATGTATTGAAAATATCCTACATATATACACAGTATTAATAATGAAGAGAGGGGTACAGGATTACAATATAAAAGAAAAACGGGGGCCAGAAAGGTAGAAAACAATCCATTGAAGATATACATTTAAAACTACGGCTTGTTTAGAGACTATATCATTAAACTACACAAATCATCTGAGTTCAGGTAAGTTGTCTAAACTACATATCATTTGAAATACGATTAAATATCGCCAGCGGGCGTTGGCCCGGATGTCAGTGAGTAGAAATGGGGGTTGACGTCTTAATTTACCGCATTACCAGGCTAATGAAGACGGCATACGCCATGAACATTCGGCAAACCTCGGCAGACTCAGGTACCTTACATCTAACCTCGACTGTATGACGAATTCCGCCATTGGAAGTACTTTCAACTTCCCGGATTAAAAATGGCGGCGCCCATGAAGACGCACGTGAAGTGTTGTTTTATCACAAGAAACTGTATATTGTTTGTGATGTACTTCTGATAGCAAACGCTTACATTGCTTGAATAAAGGACAACTTTGCAATGAAAACTCTACACTCTTCGAACGACGCCATTTTGAGAGCTTCTTTCTAAAAGTTTTCCTAATAAATAAACCGGTAGCCGCATCATAATTGTATGATTGTAACTACATATCACGTACCGTCATAGAGCCGAGGTTAGATGTAGGGTACCGGATTCCCCCGAGGTTTGCCGTATGACGCCATGAAGTGACCCGCGACAGACATTATGCCAGATGAGCGTCGCTACGCTCTACAGTTACTAACATTGCCATCTGTGAAGATTTTTAACGTTCTTTCAGTGGTGTTCGTGGAAACTCTGGAAAATCTCCATAAACTTTCTCAATTATCAAATCTCTAGTGAAAGAATTTATGTATTTATTATTCTAAGAACCAGATACATTCATGACAAAAATACAAAATGATTGAATTATATGTCATGAATAATTTGCTTCTTAAGGGTAACCATGGAAACCAGCAAAAATTGCACAATATACACTGGTTTCTTTCCAATGGGGTCACGGTTTTAGGAGAGATGGAGAGAGAATGGGGTTTAACGTCCACTCGACACAAACTAGGTCATTTCGGAACTAACATATGGTTCAATTTTATTTCTATAATTCGCTAGCGCGTAGGTGTCTTTAGCGGTGGGAGGAAACCGGAGGACCGTGAGAAAACCCACGAGATTGGACAGGCGACCCTACTCCTTGCCACGTACAAGCGGGGAATCGAAACCACGCCAGCTGACTCAATAACAGACCTTATGATACAACGCGCACGCGCTAGCCATTGGGCCATCCAATCTCCCTTCAAGCATTTGGGATGAGGGAATAACGAATTATTATCTTTATTTCAGGCTACCAGTTGAAATAGGCCTGGTGGTAGGCCTATTACGATCCTTTAAATAATGGCGCGTTTGTACGTGAGAAGGAGAGTACTAATAATTTCCAGTCTGGTTATCATTCTCGTCATAGTTTTATTTCAACCCAGAAAAACATCACATGAATATCAAAAACAACCAAACAACAATCATAAAGAGACAAACACGGATCTCAAACACAACTTAGTCATGTTTACAACATGGCGGCACCGTGCCAAAAAGGTTCACGCTCGTGAAGTAGTTCTACGAAACTGGCGCCACCTTTCACCCAAAATACAACCATTAATTTTTACTAAAACTGGTGTATTACGTGACAGATGTTTGGCGGAAAACTGGTTAGTTTTGCCAGAGGATGAAATTAGATGTTTGAATAAAATCCCTACATTAAGGGGAATGTTTAATTCTGCAATGTCCACTATCAATTCACATTTGTATGGATTTAGCAATGGTGATCTGGTATTTGCTAAAGATTTTGTTAAGAGTATTGAAGTCATTTTGTCAGACGAGTCATTGAAAAATAAGCCATTGTTGATATTGGCCAAACGGTTGAATATAGAATATAGGCCTTACAGAAACACTGCCTTCGCGTATGACGATATTCCTAGGATTGCTAAACAAGGCGAATATCCAAAAGAAGGCTCTTCGGACATCTTCATAACAAATAAGCTTTTCCCGTGGAAACGGGCTCTCGAATTAGTTATTGGTCGAATGGGGGTAGGCATGTGGTTATCTGCTTTTGCACGCGCATTAAACGTCACTTTGATAGACGTAACAAATACATCTACTGTGTTACATCTGACGACTGATGGAAATCAGGAATCCTTAAAAAATATCGATATGAACTGTAATCACGACATCATAAAAGCGAATAATTTAACTTGTGACAATTTTTCAGTGGGATTTATTGACTGTGCCGATCACGCGACTAATTATAAACAAAATGGAGATATTCGAATATTTAAGAAACAATATTTTAAATCTTATTGCTTTAAACCAGCGTTTTACAGATTTGTCGATAAAATAAAAGCGAGATTTTCAGTTGAATTGTCAAACAATTATTATGAAGCGGATTTTTCAACTAAAGGGAGGTAACTCCAATCTGATGGATGCAGACCACCATTAATAATCCCATTGACTTCAATATTAATTCTGTTCTCCTTACCTAGCTCCATTGTTTTCCCAAATTTTCGTTGGGCTGAAAGTTTTTCACTACAGACAGAGAAACAAATGGTCATACCTTTGCTCCAGTTTTGTATGAGGTTGACTGGTGAAATTTTGAGATACACAAACTTGAAGTAGTATACTGTAAACATATAGCTATCCGCCGTACTTATCACCGTAACCAACCTCTTCACTCTGTTATCCTTCCGCCTCTAAATCATGATAATTTACCAAAGTCTGAGAGATAATGTTAATTAAAACCCTCTTCTTCTACTCTAGTCTGCAAAATCAACAAAAGTTGCCATGCAAAGGGAGGAAAAGGCGGGGAGAAAGTATTGCTATAAATAGACGAACTATATACATGTTTACCATAATATGGTTGGAGACCACCATTGATCAATCTCTGCATTTCATTATTCAAGCTTTGGAGGCTTTATAACCTTTTCGGAGATCTTCTATGGACTGGAAACTTCCTACAACAGATGAAGAAACGAATTGATCCCGAAATCTAACAATGTTTGGATCCTATTGCTCGGTATTTTGACATTCTTCAAAGCCTCAGAGGTTATTGAAAATTTGTTGAGGTATTCTACACAATGACATACTTGAAATAATACACCGTTTCAACTGCGAGGGTGAACGGTGGTGAACAAATTTTCGCTTAAGAATAGGATGACAGCCACAGAAACCTTTAAGACAACCACGCGGACAAAACACACAAACTACCAACGTATATATAAAATCAAGTGAATTGATCCGGGGACTGCGTTTTACAGCCCAGGGCCTATAATGATTGCTGACTTCACTGCCAATAATGGAAACAATCTTCAAAAATTGTATCATACCAGGTGTAAATCATGATGGCTATGTCTTACAAGAAATGTATCATAGTAGTGTGATTCATGATCGGCTGCGTCTTACAAAAAATCTCATTAGATAAAGATCTGTTTTCGAAAAATGAAGTAAAATGTCGAGTAAACGATTCATTGCTTTAGAGTTATTAAAAGAGATCAACGCGTGTGAAAAGATGTAAAGTTATTACCTAAATACAATGTTAGGGCATAAGTCGATATTTCCATAGAATACAAAGTCTCAAAAGAAGCGATGCGATCGATTGGCGGTGGTAGTCTGCTGGCAGTGACAATCTGCCAATCATCAGTTAGTACAATAAGGGCGATAATCCGAATAGGAAATCGTAAATGTCAATCTTGTTATGTTGCAGGACGGAGGGACCAAGACGAAACAACGTACAGTCGTTAGAATTGGACGAAACACCGAGGTCCCGTGTACATATTGGCGTGCACGTTAAAGAATCCTTGACAGTTAGAATTCGAAATAAGAGTAGGCCGTAGCAAAATTTCCCTATGACGTATGCCCGTCTTCGTTACCCCAGTCTACATAGAACAGTATGATATTAAATCCCATTTCATGTCTTTTCATTTCTTTTTAACAAGGTAAAGCAATGCATTTCAAATAAAAAGACCTTCTTTTTCTGGAAGACGAAGTAGTTCTTTATCGTTACATGATTGTTAAAAATCGGAGTGCCTTTGAATTAAATACATTGTATGTATAACATCCTGTGGGTGGTGCTATTAATTTGTTCCTTTTGTCGAAAATATCGACATTAAATTTATTATTTATACCGATAACGAAGCCAAGAAATGAAACAGCTATCGAGCAAACATTATCTTTATTTAGTAAATAATTCAAGCGGATAGATTTTATTTTTTAGCAGTGGGAGGAAACCGGAGGGCCCGGAGAAAACCCAGAAGGTTGGACAGGCCACGTACAACCGAGGAATCGAAACCCAGTTGACTCAATGACAGACTTTATGATACAGCGCGCACGAGCTAACCATTCAGCCCCCACTCCCCAGAACAGTAGGACGTTAAACCCCATTTCATTTCATTCTAATCCGGACAATTACTAGATGATATGATGTTGATGTTTCGGAATTTTGTTTTTTTATTCGAACTATTCTCCGGATATATAAATATATGCTCCATCAATTTCGAAAACTGCATCAATGCCAGATAAAGACTAGAGAAGTCTAGTTGACGGTAATTGCGTTCCATACAACACTGAAGTCGCTAATTTTCTCCAGCTATCACAACTATTTATATATGAAGACTCTCTATGGAATACAATTACCAGTTCAACTACACTTCTCAAGTCTTATCAGACAAACTATAGAGTTTTTAAAATGATTGAGCGTATTTTTATATCCGGGAAACGAACACACGTCTATAGATTGTTAAAAACTGATCTTCGATCGATGCTAACCTGTCTCTTCTCGTCACGTGACACGCGCAGCACGCGCCGATGTATATTATTGTCAATCAAGCGAATTGGTAAGTCCAGTTATTTCACTATCGTTAATTATATTTTTTTGTTTATTAGGCGATGTCGTAACGAATATGAATATTTTACGATGCAGAGACTTGATGTCAAACTCGTCCTTGTTCCAGACTTTGATGCCAATGCATCGTGCTGCCGAGTCTCCTGGAATTCTGTCGGTATTGTCTTCCGGGTCTGAGACAAGCTAGTGTTTCAGCCCACATTTTCTTAGCTCGCATTGCTTAATGATCCCTCTAGACTGGCCAGTCTTGTTGATGATGAAATCTTGGATGGAAGTAACGGAAACCATTCCCAACGGAGCAGATGCGTCTTCACAATCATTTAAACTAGTTTATAGCCCTGTCATTGTCTGTAATTGTGTCTGTAAAAAAGCATTAGGTGACACTCACGTGCCCCCACCCCCATTAAATCGCTTATATTGTCTTTAATTATGCCTTTTATTGGTTATTATTTCGGCATATCGGTATTAACGATTGTATATTGTACTGTTTTACTGCCTGGTTTATTCTGCTGTACACAGTATCCTCGCATTGTTTAATACAGAGAAGGAACTAGAATGAAATGGGCTTTAACGTCCTACTAGTCAGCTCCGACTGAGCTAATGAAGACTTGCATACGCCAAGTAATGTGTTATAAGGGCAATTTTGCCCGGTCAGTGGCACTACGACGTACTCCAACTGTTAAGTGTTATTTTACGTGCACGCCAATTTGTATACGTTTTCGTACCATCCGAACGACTAGAAAACTGTCCTTAACAAGCCCTCCGTTCTGCACAACTGACAAAAGGAGACACCACGGGACCCCGAGGTTAGCGAATCAACATCTTACTCTTTGAGCCACTGCGACTCGCTTGTTGTGTCAGTCGGAGCTAAACAGTAGGCCGTTATACTGTATTTCATTTCATTTCCCTTGTACAGTTAAGGACAATGACCAAGGCCCCAAGGTATCATAAGGTCTGTCATTGAGTCAACTGTCGTGGTTTCGATTCCCCGGTTGTACGTTACAGGAGTAGGGTCGCCTGTCCAAACTCGTGGGTTTTCCTCGGGTCCTCCGGTTTCCCCCCACTGCTAAAGATCCACTGCCAGCGAATTATTGAAATAAAATTGAACCATATATGTGTTAGTTCCGAAATAACCTAGTTTGTGTCGAGTGGACGTTAAATCCCATTTCTCTCTCTCTCTCTCTCTGTCTGTCTGTCTCTCTCTCTCTCTCTCACACTCTCTTGATTTATTATTGTACCATTTTATAGCAGATAACTTACAATCAGGAGCTAAGCGAATGGGGTGCAATGGCGTACTTTGCCTCATGGGTTTTAAGATTTCCGGGCTTCTGGTTTTCAAAAAAAAATGTCCGAGGGAGGGCACGCGGACCCCCCCCCCCCCAATTATGCGCGTCGCCGCCCGTGCGCCCCCTACATCCATGGTCTCTGGATGCGCCCTTGCTTTGCACCCCCTCTCAAATAGATGGATATCACATCTTTCGAATGCGATTTGCAACGGAAATATACCGTGGCTCCGATATGATACATATGATACAGTGTAATTGTAAGATTGGTTTTAATTGTAAGACTGGATGATAGGGGCAACAGTATTGGTTGTAATTGTAAGACTGGATGATAGGGACAATAGTATCGGGTGTAATTGTAAGACTGGATATACGGGACAGGATGCTGATTGTTTGTAATTGTCAGTCTGGATGATGATAGGTTGTAGTTGTATATAATTAGCACCTTAAGTTCTAATTAAGAATTATATAACACGACTGTTGATTAATAATATCCACGTGAAGTTAATTCACTCATTAACGATGAGTTACTTGACGGCGAGGACGATTCATGTAATATCATTTATAAGCAGAAACATCGCGTGTATTTATACCTCATTAGATCGATTGCAAGGCCTAAAATAAAGTTAAATTCTCGTAGCACGGATTCTGTGTTCGAAAATTCAGAACTGACAAATGGCATCTGTGGACTATTCTGACGCAGTTTACATTGCAGTTTATTTGGCTATGCGCAGCTTTTTTTTCGCATGAAAACTCGACACAAGGAAGATAATATTTAAATCATAATTTAAATTCTATTATCACATCAACATCAGAACTAAAATTCTATCAGTAACAAGGGTAAAAAATAAAATAAAACAAATCTGATTATTGTCTTTTCAAGTCTCTTCAGGGAGTCGGCGCTACCTTACACTTTTTTCAGAGCACGGTTTTACACCATTTTGTTCAGAGCACGGTTTTCGTATTTCCGAAGCACGGATTGTTCATTTCGAAGCACCTTTGTGCTCCTAGGCACGTTATTTTAGGCCCTGATCGATTGTTGTCTACTGTAAAAGGGCGGGCCTGTGTGTTTGGTTATCATTGTTTTGTCGCTTGGTTGTCATGGTTTTGCTTTAAGGGAGTGCGTGTGTGCTTGGTTGTCAATGTTTTTGGTTTAGCGTGTGCGTGCTTATATAGTTGTTAATGTTTGGTCAGTGTTTTGGCCTAACAATGTGTTTGGTTGTCTATGTTTTGTTGTACTATGTGTTTGGTTGTCAATGTTTTGGTCTACTATGTGTTTGGTTGGCAATATTTTGCTCTAAGGATATGCTTGGTTGTAAATGTGTTGGTCTAAGGATATGCTTAGTTGTAAATGTGTTGGTCTAAGGATATGCTTGGTTGTAAATGTGTTGGTCTAAGGATATGCTTGGTTGTAAATGTGTTGGTCTAAGGATATGCTTGGTTGTAAATGTTTTTGTCTAAGGATATGCTTGGTTGTAAATGTTTTTGTCTAAGGATATGCTTGGTTGTAAATGTGTTGGTCTAAGGATATGCTTGGTTGTAAATGTTTTGGTTTAAGGGTGTGTATGCTTGGTTGTAAATGTTTTGTTCTGAGGCTGTGCATGAACTTAGTTATCAATGGTATGTGTGTGTCGAAAACTGTATTGACCTTAAGGGTCTGTAACAGTTGGGGGAGAACTGGAGGACTCGGACAGGCACCCCTACAGTACAAGGTTGGAATCGAAAATTACCCAACGCGCATGAGTTAAACCATCCGAGTCCCCCCCCCCCTTTCAAATAAGGTCCCGGGTTCAATTGACGCTGGCATGAAAGTTTATTAGGATTTTGTAGCATAACTTCTCCTTGTCAGTTGTACGCGTTCGGATGGAAGGTCATGTGTGCACTTTGGGTTGGCGTGCACGTAAAAAAGCTGTGACAGTTGCAATTCGATATAAGAGTAGGTCATAGTGCCGCTGCCCAGGCAAAATTACCCTCATAGCACACTGTATGGCGTATGCCCTTCTTCATTAGACCAGTCGAAGCAAAACAGTAGGATGTTAAACCCCATTTCATATCATTTTTATTTATCTTAGGCCTACTACTACATAAACTTATGTGGTCGTCATAAAACGCAATCTGAATAAAATACAGATCTATATTTCGTTTCGTTTGTTTATACTTTCGATGGCTTACACTACATGAAGATCTGACAAGTTATAGTGGGAGTTCAGGTCAGGGGTCAAACGAAAAGATTTTGACCCTATGACGTCAGACATTGATATTAATCAATCAGTGTTGATGTTTCTAGTGGTTTACCCACAGTTCCGTGCGTAAAAAGGCCAAGAACTCTCAGTAACAGACCGTTTCATTAGCTAATCCCTCACACCAACCAGAACGCAGGTTATAATAACAACTCTTCCAGATCCTACATGTAGTGTAGTAAAGACAAGTAAAACGAAATTTTGAACTATAAAAACGAAATGAAATAGGATCTGTGTTTTAATCAGAGTGTCATAAAACTCATCCCTGTATATGATTTGACACAATGGAATGCAGTTAAATAAGAACAATACGACATGCTGATATAATCATAACATTTACTACCAGCTCGAATCATCATTAAATTTCGTGAGTTTCCTTTGAATTGTAATTTGTAATATCCGGTGACATTTCTAATCGTGATATCAATTGTAGATAATAACATCATTATAACTTCTGTATAAAGCTATTCATGGCTAAATCTATCTGTTAAGGCCAGCTCAATTTTTGTCATGGTCGCTGAGATGTAAATAAGGTAAGGGCACGTGATTGTTGGTGAGATTGTTGTTTAGGGTAAGCACAATCTGAACGACAGACTCACCCTACCTGCAGAGAAGTGACTCTGACACAGTGAATAGCCATGATATGCATATGACGTTATCTAAACGTTACAGGTCATGAGGTCACATCAACAAACAAAATGTAAACACCATCATTATGATCATTATCAACAGTACAAGACACAATGTTAAATTGTAAATAATACCCTTCTTGCAGCCTTTAGGACTGTATAATCCATACAGAACGTCTTATCGCTTCTTCCAATGATGTTTCACAAAAATAACATCATCTACAACTCTAGATTTGACGTCGGCATATTGGCACTATTTTGTGCTTCGGTCGTGTCTATTTCAGATATACACAATCAATTCTGTTAATGTTTTTAGCGTGGGGATTGACTAAAAGTTAATTTATTTCAGTTCTAAACAAAAATTTAAAACTTTAACGCAATTTTAAAAAAAATAGCCAAATTCTGGCTGGGATTACTGAGCAAAATGGCCATTCACTGTATACGTGCGAAAAAAAAGCCAGCTACCATTTAATTTTCGTACGTTAGTTACGTTCGGGGTAAGCATTAGGGCTAGGTCCGGGGTTGGGATTGGGATTAGCGCCAGCCCCGTGTACATCTCAGGGTTAGGTTTAAGAATTTGGGGGAGAGGTTTTAACCTAATTTAATATCAAATCATTTTTAAATGTCAATCTAATTTGAGCCGGGAATTCGATCCAATGATTTTTAACTGTCAATCTAACTGAGTCGGGGATTCGATCCAATGATATTTAACTGTTAATCTGATTTGAGGTGAAAAATCCATGCGGGGATTCGATCCAATAATTTTTAACCGTACATTTAATTTGAGGTGCAGAATCTATGCGTGTCGGGGATTCGATCCAATGATTTTTAACCGTATAT